ATCTCTAAGGGATCACGACCCAGGATATCACATCCCCAATGCTGTGCCGAGGAGGTATACTTATCACCAGATGAAATTCTCCTGCCTCTGTTCGCAACCTTGGAGGTCCAAGTCACGTTCAAAATCTCGAGCCTTTTTCATCTATTGCTGCACTTCCGCCCAGAGAGCGAAATGAGTACATCACGCTGGATCGCCTCATCCGTTATGGCCCAACAGCCGGATGCAAGGCTTGTGAGAAAGCTGGAGGGACACACAATGTTGCAAAGCGCGCTTCACAAGTTTGACTCTAGTGGGCCACCAATCCCCGAGGTGCCAGTGCCTCCCACTCCAAGCATGCCGCCTATTGAAAGTGTGAGGGTTGGAGCATGTGGAGGAAGAAGGCGGGTAGACCCTAATAGTTTGCCTTTTAGTGTTGGCATTGATCTCAGCATCCAGAATCTGCAGTGGTAGGTAAGAGCAATCAAGACATAAACGAAGCCTTTATGAACACCGACTATGCTAGATGCAAGGCCAGGAGAATGAACAGCTTAAAAAGAACAGATTCATTGTATGAAGATGCGTATTCAGATGATTCCATCCTTGGATAAAGAACAGAACAATTAGGAATCCAGTGTGTCCGCCTGTCACGTTCTTTATTCTGGATGTCATTGACGTGCACATTCCATTCGCCCTTGCAATGCTTAAATGAAACAATCCATGGAACGGAATTCATAAAAAAAATTGAAACAAAAGAAAAAGAACCCAATGGAAATGATGGATCTTGCACTGCCTTGTTTGGAAGCTGCAATGACCAACTATGATCGTATTGCCGTGGAATGGCCCAGAAACAGTGGCCTGTGGGAAACCCACCTGGGTGAATTTCATGCAGAAATATAACCTCAAATATGTGCATTTTGATGGGTGTGCGCTAGGCTTGAAAGATAAGCGTGGGCAATTCCTCAGGAAGCCCTGGTGTGTTGCGACAAATGACCTCCGGATCTTGCAGCGCTTTGGCCAATACATTTATCCAGGCAATCATGAGCCCATGCAAGGGACCAATAGCCTTGAACTTAGCGCTATTCTATGGTTGTTGCGAACACAATACGATCTCAACGTCGGACGCGGTTCAGGCATTCCTTCACACTCCAATGGAAACTGAAATTTGAGTCCTTGTACCATAAGAACTTTGGTCGGATGCCTGGAAAGAACAATACCCCGCCGGCACCAAATGGGTTGTCCGTTTACTCAAGTCACTATACGGTCACCCGCTCGCGGGTAAGATGTGGCAGTCATATTTATCAGAAATGCATCTTGATATGACCTCATACGCACAGAACACAGTAAAATTCTACTGCGAGTTGTATGGAATCTCAGAATCCTCATTGAAGTCCGTATCATCAGATGCAGAAGCGCAAGGAATATTGCACAATGATGCAGCAAAGATCCTAACGAGACTTCTCTGGTTGAGTCGGCTTTCACGACCGGACCTGTCGTTCCTTGTTGGCCGACTAGCCGCAAACGTTTCGCATTGGAGTCGTTGGGGCGATCGTCAAAAACTCCGAATGATCTCCTACTTGGCATGCGCTGCAACATACCAATGTTGTGGCAAAATTGCATACGGACATACCCCTGTCCTTCTTGCCTATAGTAACTCAGACTTCGCTTCGTATCCTTGGTCTGCAAAATCGACCAGCGGAATCATGATCGGCGTTCGCACGGGAGAAGCTTTCTACCCGATACACTGGCAAAGTCGCAAACAAAGAGAGGCAGAAGCGATTACATTTTCAAAATTGTTTTTCGGAGAATCACTGCACATCCAAGCGATATTAGAGCACTTGTTTGAGATTCCGATTCCTTTGAAATTGGAGCAGGACAACGAGGCAGTGATCCGCATAATCCGAAGCGGATTTTCGGTTAAACCAAGGTATTGCAAGCGTGTCCACAGGGTGAACATAGCCGCCATAGCTGATTTTTTGGAGCAGGATGAAAGTCTTGAGCATAGGTATTGCCAGACCAACCAGCAGTATGCCAACGCTCTGACCAAAATAGTACCTCCAATACAATGGTCAGAAGCACTTTGTCAACTCTGTGTTCGTAAAACTTAATTCATCGTTTGATTCGAAATCGTAGTGCCGAAGGCCTGCCGGAAATTTGCGTTCTAGGCTGACATGCTCAGCATGAGGGGTAGTTGAGGATTATGAAGTAAATCCACGTTTACATTCCTCCATTCCAGCTGTCATGTCTTGTCCAGTTGTATAGCCTAGCTGTAAGCACTCATTTTGTGTACTTGATGCGTTTTGGCTCAAGCTGCGTGAAAGCAGGTGCGCTGCATATTGCGCTTTGTAATTCTTGTTTGGCTGTGGGATCGCAAAATCAATAGGTTAACAACCCTGAGTCTTGGAAATTAGTAAATTTACATTTTGCTAGGATTTATGTAAATTGAAAGATTTAGATCAAAAATACACCTAAAAATGTAAGGAACCTAAATTATGTTTAGGTTGCAAGCTAAATTTGAAAAGCATAAAGAAGCATAGAAACAATATAAGAAATTCATAAGGAACCCTTTGGTGTTTGGCAATGTTTCCAAACAAAATTCCAAAAAAATCTGGCTCACATGCCAACATCCAGAAACAGCTTTTCAATCTCAAGTACAACAAATGCAAATGTCAAGAACATGCTGCACATCCCACATTGCAAGATTTCTCATGTAATTCACACACAACTCAAATACAAGCCAAACTTTCAGAGAGATGCACCCACTCATTTTTCTTCAACTCTTCAAATGGAGCTGGTGGCGAAACTTCAATGCAGCAACCCTTCCTACATTCCAGTGCTTGTTGCCAGCCAAGCAACTTTTCCAAAGGCGCTGTACAAATTTCATCATAGTTTCTCCTTTGTAGCACCATACTAATGATGGATGTATATTTTTGCTGAGGTGCACACTGTGGATGCAAAAGTGAGTCTTCGATGTCATGGATTGAGTTCAATGCGCAATACTAACTTCAGATTGACAAGTACTGTGAGCAGAGAGTTATGTAACGTCAGTGTTCCCAATTTTCTGATGCATTTTGGAATTTGCAATTGCTTGTTTTGAAAAGTATGGCCAAAGCTTTATGGCCTGTGGAACTTTGTCAGCAATTATGTTTGGATTCCTTCCAGTTTTCTGAGCCAATGCTACATGGGCAGGGTTTGTTTCTGATGATGACCAACCCTTTTCTTATCATGGTGATGTTGTAGTCATTGAATTGATGTAACATGTTCTTGCGCAATGATTGTTTCAATTGATTTTGCAGGTGTCTGACGTCAATCTTGCCAGATGCCGGTTGAATTCTTTGATGCCACGTGTCCGGATCTCAGGTGTTTCTTTCGTTCCGTGATGCCAGATGTCAGGTGTCAGA